GTGGGGGTGGTGTTGGCGGAGTGGCTAGCTGCTCAGAGTCTGACGTCCCCTACCTGCTGTTGGCTGTCAAGTCAGAACCAGGACGCTTTGCCGAACGACAGGCGGTGAGGGAGACGTGGGGCAGTCCCACTCCTGGGGTCCGGCTGCTCTTCCTGTTGGGGTCCCCCGTGGGTGAGGGGGGGCCTGACTTAGGCTCACTGGTGGCCTGGGAGAGCCGTCGCTACAGTGACCTGCTGCTCTGGGACTTCCTCGATGTTCCCTTTAATCGGACCCTGAAAGACCTGCTGCTGCTGGCCTGGCTGGGCCATGACTGTCCTGATGTGAGTTTTGTGCTGCATGTTCAGGACGACGCCTTCGTGCACATCCCAGCCCTGCTGGATCACCTGCAGGCCCTGCCGCCCACCTGGGCCCGCAGCCTGTACCTGGGTGAGGTCTTCACTCAGGCCAAGCCCCTCCGGAAGCTTGGAGGACCCTTCTACGTACCCAGGTCTTTCTTCGAAGGTGGCTACCCAGCCTATGCAAGTGGGGGTGGCTACGTCATTGCGGGCCGCCTGGCACCCTGGCTGTTGCAAGCGGCAGCCCGTGTGGCACCCTTCCCCTTTGATGATGTCTACACTGGCCTTTGCTTCCGCGCTCTGGGCCTGGTGCCCCGGGCCCACCCAGGCTTCCTCACAGCCTGGCCAGCAGACCGCACCACCACCCCCTGCGCGCTCCGTGACCTACTACTGGTGCGGCCCCTCAGCCCTCAGCAAAGCATTGGGCTCTGGAAACGCCTGCAGGACCCACGGCTACGATGCTGAGGCTTACAGGGAACAGAGGGGAGGGGAGAAAGAAAAAGGACTGACCTGGCCTGGCTGGGCCTGCCCTTCCTCCTGCTCAGCCCCTCCCTCCAGACCTTGATGTGAGCAAGGAGGTCTCAGAACCTGGGCTGCCTGAGCTGCTTCTGGGCCCTTCCCAGCCAGGGGCCGGGTAGGCAGGATAAGGTAGTTGACTGTTTTTGTCTACTTTTTGCTTCTGAAAAATATCCATCCACTCTGAGGCCTGGAGTCATTTTGAGTCTCTGGGGCCCTGGAGTAGGTTTGGAGCAAAGTCCAGCCCACCCTGACCTTCACACTAGACACCCCCTTACTGGGTGGGGCTAGCCCTGGTCACTCTGCTAGACACCAGGCTTGCTCTGTTTTGTGGGAGAACAGTAGGCCCTCGCTGGAGAAGCCCCCCCCTTCCTGTCTGAGGCTGACTCTAGCTTGCGAAACTTTCCGGGGGAAGCAGATGTCCAACGGCTTGGCCTCATTTATCTAAAGCAGAGAAGCTGGAGGTGGTCCCAGTTCAGTTAGGCTGAAGTCTCCCCATTCCTCAGAACCCCAGGAACAAGACGGAGGTGGTACAGAGCCACACGGAGAGACACCGTTTATTCACTGTCTCTGCTGACCGGCTCTCACTGAGCAACTCCCAGAGGCTGACCTGCCACGCCCACCCCAGGTCCCAGAGAAGGCACGCAAATAGTGCCCCCAAAATCTACAGCCTGGAGGAGCAGGGACGGGAAGCAGAGCCGCACCCATACAGTCTCGGGCACTGCACTGGCCCGAGTGTTTTCGGGGAGCTGGCTGAGGGGGAGGTGGTGGTGTCCAGTCAGCTCTCCCTCTTCCCCTGAGAGCAGGGCTTCCCCTGAGGTGGTTGCAGGGGCACTGGGGCAACAGGCCTCACTTGTCGAAGTGGTCCAAGGGGTAGTGTTCCCCGTATGTCTGGAGGTGCCGGGCCAGGGACTCCTGCTGCTTGCGGAGCTGGGCGGGCATCTCCTGGTACACGTCCGAGAAGAGCAGGTTGGGGTTGGGCTTCGGCTTCCGCTCGGCCTGCTCAAAGGCCTCCATCACCTGTGGGAACAAGGGACAGTGGGCACCAGTTGGCCTCCCACCAGGCCCGCCTCCTGCCCCCACGGGACGGTGAGGGTCGCAGCTGGACAGCGGAGATAATCGTGTCCATGACAGTAAAAATAGCATATCACAAACTGCGGCACTCCATCCTCAGCTGGGACCAAGCTCCACACTGAGCGTGTGGGTCTGTCTAAGCCTCTCAATAGCCCTAAGCAGCAGGCAGCTTGGAGATGAGGAAACCGATGCAGAGAGCAGGAGGGGACCTGCCAGGCTGATGCAGCAGCTGGGCCAGGACACTCAGGCTCCCCACCCTGGCTGCGCTGCCTCGCTGACCCCTCACCAGGAGGCCGCATGCTGACTGAGAGGGCACAGGCCACATGGGAGAAGTCGTCTAATGGGTGGGTGCCACCAGCACACAATCTGCTGAGGACTGGCTTGGTGACACGGGGCAGGCAGCCTTGCTCCACGGGCCTGCCAAATCCCCAGCTCAGTGATCCCACAGCACAGCCCACCCTCACACCATGCCAGCCCACGCGGCCCCTCACCTTCTTGCGGGACTGCTTCCTCCAGGCCTTCTCCTGCTCCTCGTCCCACCAGCCGCGGCTCAGCAGGTAGTGCCTCAGCCGTGAGATGGGATGGTCCTGTTTGTCCCAGTAATTGACCTCGTCCACCGAGCGGTACGCCGAGCTGTCATCACTGGTGCTGTGGTGCCCGATCCTGCCCAGGGGGAGGGCCAGGGTCAGGCGGGCCTGCTGTGCGTCGGGAGGGAGGAAGGGAGCACACTAGGGGAGAAGGGGTGGGAGAGAACTAAGGCGAGACGGGGCGACGACATGGGGGTGAGGCCGCGGTCTGGGTACAGTGGCTGACAAGAGGAAGAGGCTAAGGTGCAGCAAGGCTGGGGTGACCCAGGCACCTGTAGGTCATGGCCTCGATGAGGAAGGGCTGGTTCTCCGCCACAGCGCGCCGCCGGGCCTCCTTCGTGGCGTTGTACACGGCGAACACGTCGTTGCCATCCACACGGATGGACATGATGCCATAGCCCGGGCCTCGTGCAGCTGCAGGGACAGAGGAGGCTGGTCTGGGGCTCAGATGAGGTGGGGTGGGCAGGGAGGGAGAGGAAGGAAAGCAAGCAGTCAAGGCAGGAGAGGGCCCACAACAGTGCTCTGTCCCTGGGTCCTGCACCCCACCTGGTACCAGACGCCATAGAGAAAGAGTGGGGGGAGCCACAGGGACAGGAGAGGGTCTCGAGCAGTGGAGGGTCCATACCAATGCCATCCCCACGGTACTGCTCCGAGGTAGGCGTGGAGATAGCATAGCCGTTGTTCCGGCAGAAGAAGATGATGGGGCACTCAAGCGTGGCAGCAAAGTTGAAGCCGGCGTGGGCATCCCCCTCGCTGGCTGCCCCCTCGCCAAAGTAACAGATGACGATCCTGTTGGTGTTGGCCCGCTTGGCCGCGTAGGCTGCCCCCACCGCTGCAGGGAGCCAGAGGGCGGTGAGCAGGAACACACACGCACACACAGCCACCTCACACGCGCACATAGCCACCTCACGCGCGCACAGCACACGGCCACCTCACACACACGCACAGCCATCTCACACGCACACACAACGCACGGCCACCTTACACGCATGTACAGCCACCTCACATGCAGCACAGCCACCTCACATGTGCACAGCGCACGGCCACCTGACGTGGGCACAGCCACCTCACATGCAACACAACCACCTCACACGCGCGCACAGCCACCCCACATGCATGCGCATAGCCACCTCGCATGCACACAGCCGCTTCACATGCGTGCAGTCACCCCACATGCGCACACATAGCACCTCACATGCGCGCAGTTACCCCACACGCACACACATAGCCACCTCACATGCGTGCACAGCCACCTCACACGCACCCCCAGCCCAGGGCTCTGCACTTAGGGCAGCTGTCACTGGCTCTGAGCTCCTTGTTCTGCCCAGAACCTGTTCACCCCCATCTTCTTCCTCTCACCCTACGGTGGCCTCCACCCTTCCACCTGTTCAGGCCAGAAACCAGCACTGTCTCCGACTCCGAACTCTGCCATCCCCCACGTCTACACCACCTTCACAACACAGCCCGTTCTGCCCCTTCTCACCACCCTGATCATGCCACCGTCACCTCCTGCCTGAGTCACTGGGCAACCTTCTCAGCCCTTGCAACCTGTTCCCACTCCCACCTGTCACCCACGGGCAGCCACAGACTCTAGAATGTGGCAGGCCTGGTTGCTCTGCAGAGGAGCCTCCCACTGTAGGGCTCCCAATCCACTCTGGGTAAAAGGCAAGGTCCCTACAAAAAGTAAAGGCCACAGGACCATCAACCTGCACAATCTGTACCCTCCCTGGCCCTCTTGTCCTCCAACCACTCCCACCCCGCCCATTCCACACCTGTCCGCCCACCCCCACTCCTCAAACATTAACAGGCACCAGCCAGGAAATGCCACGTGGCTCCTGCCCTCACCTGTAGTGAAATGTAGGTAAACGTCATGGTCAGTGATGTCCCCACCTCACCCCGCCCAGCCCTCATCACACTCCCTCCCTCCCTCAGCTGTACTGCCCCATAGGCCTCACCACCCAGTGCACTCCACCTGGTTTGCTACACCGTGTCAGCACCAGGAGGGCTGACGTCCTGCCTCTCCTTCGCTGCACCGAGTGGCACCCAGAGCACAGCAGGGCACCACGTGTTTGCTGGGTGAGTGATTCCGTGGACACCCAGATGCAAGGCTGGGCCAGGCCCTGCCTTTTGGAAACCCTACCCACCCACAGCAACACCACCACCTCCCACCTGAGAGGCTCGCACTGCTACTCGCACCTAAAAGAACCTGTGAGTGGAGATGGGCGCCTTCCTGCCTCGTGGGCACACAGCTGAGGCCTGCAGCACCGCAAAGCCATGCATCTCGGACACCCTGGGCTGAGAGCCCTCACCTGGGCTGACCCCCCAACCAGACCACAGGCCCCGAGGGTCTGCGTCCTCACCCTGAGGGATCTGAGTGGCCAGTGGAGAGGAGATGGTGACAAAGTGGCGCTCTTTGCAGCCGTAGTGGACAGGCATCTGGCGCCCCTTGCCCAGGTCGTTCACGTTGCCATAGCACTGAGCCATGAAGAGTTCCAGGGGGTAGTCACGGTACATCAGCACACCTGGGTGGGAAGGAGGCAGCGGAGCACCTGCTCAGACCAGCCCTGTGCTTTCCGGGGACACACCCTGGCCATCTGGGGCCACAGCTGCTCTGGCTGCATTAGGGTCCTGGACTGAGCAGGGAGGTGAATACAGATGCTGTGGGGACCAGACAGGTGCTACATGCATGTGACGGGCTGGGCAGGCCAGGGTGGGAGGCCGGTGTCAAGAGGGAGGCTGTTCAGACCAACTGGCCACTGTCTAGGGAAGCCAGTCATTCTGGCTTTTCAAAAGACATCAATGACCTAGCCTTCCTCTTCTTAAATGTTTTCGACTAAGTCAGTTATTAAAAAAAAATTTAAAATAATCATTATGAACTAAGGGCCCTGAATTCACAACCGTACACTAGAGAGGAATAGCCTAACCTGTTTGCAGTGGTAAATTCCTTTCTTTGAACAAAACTACTTGCAGATGACCCCTTACCATCAAAGGGAACCGCCCAGGTAAAGGCAGCCCTGTCTGCTAAGTCAGAAGATAGAGGTTGTTCGTGACTGTCTCCACCCCACCTGCAGAGGATGACAACCCTCACAGCCACCCGAGGGGCAGCGCTGTCCAGCGGATGCAGAGGGGACTGCAGGAGCAGCCGTCAGTGCATGCTCTCCGAGCCCGCTGGCTGCAGGACCCTTCCCTCAGAGGAGTGTGTAACACGGATCCTGGTTCCCAGCAGCCACACTGCGCGAGGGCCACGCCTTCCCTGAACAACCCCAAACCTGGAAATGGTGCTGAGCACTCTTCATCCACTACCTCGATCAACCCTCGTACCAACCCTGCGAAGCGGACGGGATTATTCCCCTGGCTTACAGATGAGGAAAGCGAGGAAGGGTGTGCTCCTGTAACTGACGCCACATCCTACAACTACCAGTCAGGGTTGGCGTAAGGACACTCACACAGCTCAAGACTGAGCCTGAGTAAGGGAGCGGGGAAGGGGTATTCTGTTCATCAGCTAACGGGGAGCTGGGGGTCAGGGGGCACCACAAGACAGCAACATGAACAGCTCAGCGCTGCCTGGAAAATCAGCTTTGCAGTTACACCCTGCTTGGAATTTCCATTAAGGCTGGGGCATTCAGCATCACTTCAGCACTCAGCCTTTTTTTTTTTTTTTTGGAGAGGTTTTCACTATAGGGTGCGTGCGCTCGCCAGACAGACAAGAGACAGAAAGTGAGAAATCACCCCCCAGGGAGGATGGCCACGCCGCAATCCCTTCTCCTCCATTCTCCTCTTGGGATCTTGGGCACGCACGCACACGTGCCCGACATGAGTTTTAAGCCACCGGGTCCAGGATGCGAACAGCGGTCGACTACGTGGGAGTCCAGCGACATAGCCATTACGCTAACTGCTGGTCCCCAGCATTCACCTTTAGTACAAGTGTACTGGTACTTTTTGCCACACCCTTTTGAATGGAAAACGCAATCACATAAAATGTGGCCGTGCTGTATATAAAAACAGGGAGAACAGGAGGTGCTCTGGTTGAGGAGGGGAAGGGGGGCCTGTGGAAAGACAGAGGTGGTCCAAGGTCCTGCCACAAGACTTTGGAATTGGGCTTCCCAAAGTGGTCGTGGGGCTACCCAAATGCACACTACTGACTGGGCAGGGACAGGGGAAGCACGTGTTTAAAATACAGACTTAGGGGCCAGCAGGTGACATGGTGGTTAAAGCACTGAATCCCACGTAGCCAAGTCTGCACTTCGAGTCCTAGAACAGCGGCTTGAAAAACACACCAACCCAAATTCCGACAAGAGGAAGAGATGGAAGAGAAGAGATCGCAGGGTGAGTCCACTCCATTAAGAGGGTAGGGTGCTTTTTCCCTCTCCCTTTCTCTCTGTCTCTCTAGAGAGCACATGTGCCTCATGGGTAAAAAAAAACTTAGCCAAACTCAGAGGCAAGCACCTGGGAGGTGAACTACAGGTTTAAGGCCAGCCTGAGCTACCTAGAGAGACCCTATCTCTAGACAGAAAACGGGCTCATGGGCCCAACACTCTGGTGGCACCACCTTGCCCCAGGACACTGCAGGCCCATGGGACTGCTGCTCCAGCAACATACCTCGGGCAGAGAGGGCAGCCTGCCACCTCCTAACAGGCCCTTCACAGAATGTCACTCCCCGCTGTGCCAGTGGGGACTCCACATACAACCCCGGCTTTACCCCCTGGGAGGGCAGCTCAGATGGTGACCAGCAAGGCTATCCCAGAGTCAAACGGCCTTGGGGAGGACCCCATGCCACTGTTCAGGAGACTGGGGCAGGGCTTGGGCCCCACAACCTCACCTCTCTGCCCAGGGCTTATTACCTGGCTTTTACAGGTAATAGCAATGCCTGCCTCACGTGGCTGGGGGGAGCTGCACTCACTCCAGTGGACCCTCACTCTGAGGCGACCGACGCGGTGGGGCACTCAGAACAGTGCCCTGGCCCTTGAGAAGACCACACTTGTCCCTCCTTCACAGATGAGAGACAGCGCCGTCATGGCACATGAGTGGCCTGCACTTCAGGCCAGGGCCTGACTGCCCCACCTCCTTGCCCTGCACCACACTGCCTCCCCACAAGCCGTCTGAGCTGCCCAGGCCAGAGCTTTCTGCCAACCCTGGGTGCTGGACAGTCACTCCTGCAACTCGTCTGTCTCCTCTGCTTCCCATAAGCCTCACTCACTTCTGCTCGGAGTCCTCCCAAAAGAGACCCCTTCAGCAAAGCAGGCCATCAGGGATCAGCAAGGCTGGTGGGCCTGGCTGGCTGCCAGTGTCCAGACGGAGCATCACAGGGTGCCTGCCCTCGCAGAGCAGTGGGCGGGGGCCCTGGCCCACGGAGGGGAGCAGATGCTCTGCATGTAAGAATGGAAGGTCCCCCATAAGGAGCTCCACAGGGTGGGGTCCCTGTCATAGCAGCCTCTGATTCTGAGCGCACCCAGGGCTAGGCACCATATTGAGAGTTTTGTGTCAACAGCCCTAGACTCCCCTCCACAGCTGGCCCCTTAGAAATGAGCACAGGTAAGGAAGCTGCCCAAAGTCACACAGTGTCTGAGGGGAAAGGCCAAGATCTGCCCCTGGCATGATAAGTGACCCAACAAGGTGACGCCCTTGCCAGGCCCCACACCAACACCTGCTGCGTGCCCCACTCACTGCTCCTGGGCCCTCGCCTTCACCCCCAGGCACTCGAGAAGGCCCATCGGTTTTCTTCGTTCCCGTACTTTGACCCTCCCTTCCTTTCACTCATGATCCGGGACCTGCCAGGCGGGTGGGTCCTGCATGGTGCCCAGGCCTGTGGATGCCCTCCCACCTGTTCCTGCTCCCTGAAGGACTTGATGCCTGAAAGGAGACCAGGAGCGCCTGCACGAAGCGGAGGGGCATCTGTGGCACACACCACACCACAGCTGAGCCCAACCTCACTGCGTCTCCCCCGCAGCCTCTCGGCGTCAGAATCCCTGTTTCAGAAATGAGAAACTGGAGCTCAGAGAATGGAAGTGACTTGCCAACATCAGACAACTGGTGACCAGTGGGTAAACATACAGGCTCTTGGGCCAGACGGTGGCACAGCAGTGGAGCAATGCTGACCCACATGGAAGGTCCTTAGTTCGTGTCCCTAGGTGCTTGTGCACTTGTGCCTACAGATCCCAGCTGGCTGGGGCTGAGGGTGAACACGGTATGGAGACCCTGTTGGGGGTACCTACTTCTCTCATGGAAAAACTTTTAAAAAAATTTTTTTTTGGAGAGATCTTTGCTATACGGCGTGTGCACTCACTGGAGAACAGAGAAAGAGACAGAAAAAGGGAAATCACCCCTTCAGGGGAGATGGCCACACCACAATCCATTCTTCTCCATTCTCCTTTCAGAATCTTAGGCACACATGCACACGTGCCCAGCATGGGTTTTAGGTTGCTGGGTCCAGGACTCAAACCACAGTTGACTACATGGGAGTCCAACAATGTAACCGTTAAGCCATCTGGTAGTCCCTAAAAATTTTTTTAAAAATGAGTACTGACCTTTTAACAACTATACTTCCTGAATTTCAAAAGAATAGTTGGCCCCTTACAAAGTCCTGACCCTGGTTTGTCTCCTTCTTGCTCAGAAAGTTCTTCCTTCAGCCCCTCAGACCTTTCTGAAATGATGTTGCTTCTGCATTAAAATGTGCAACTAGATGGGGACCACAGGGCCAAACCACGGGGCAGACGTACCTGCCTCCCGGTACTGGCCGAACACCAAGTCCGTGTTGTCCAGGGCGGCTGCGCTCCCCACATGCGTGCCCTCCTCGCCATAGTTGGTCATGTAGAAGGAGATCCGGCCCTGGGGGGAGGGCGGCACGGAGGCCAGGGTTTGGTTACACTGGGCAGTGATGGAAGAGCATCTACATCCCGCCCAATTTTTGATGACTCCACTAATCAACAGTCTTCCCAAAGGCCAGCCCTAGGCCAGGCCTCACTGAGGCCCTACCTTTACGGAGAAACTGCCAGATTAGTTAGTGCCAGTGAGCAAGCCTCCGTGCCCAAAGGTGGCACCCCCAGACCATGGAAGGGTGTCAGAGAGAATGGCCTGCACTGAGCAAGGTGGTGGTGGTGGTGGGGGGGAGGGTTCCAGGCAGAGGGAAGAATAAAGGCCATGAGGCCAGAGGGGCTAGGCCACAGAGGAGGAAGAGAGAAATGGCACCCAGACGATGCAGTAATAACAATACATCTGGACATAGCGCTGAGAACAATGCTAACCACTGAAGGCTCGCAGCAAGGGAGCCATGTGGTCAGACTTGCATCCCAGAAATCTCTGGCTGCTATGTGAAAACGGACGGAGGAGGCAGGGCTAACTGCAGTGGGCTAGGAGAGAGGGCGTGGTGGCCTGACCAAGCAGCAGTGGCAGGCAGGGAGAGGAGCAGATAGTCTTAAGAACCTGAGTCAGTGGTGCTTGGAGTGGCAGACCCTGCCGGGAGGCCACACCTAACCCAGGCCACACCTATGTTCTCTCAAAACCCCAAGCCCAAAGCCTGCTTGAAAAGTCGCACACTCAGGTTCCAGCTTCTGCGAGGCTGCACGACAGTGTTACTAGACTTCGGCGGAAATCTGCTTTTGCTATCTGGATAAAAGCGACTACTGAGGCTGGCACCACCCTGCCTCCAACCCTTCTTCCTGCCTTGCGTAGCCATGAGCTTGGGCCTGGGGCAACCATCCTGTGATCATGAGGCAATAAGCAGAGGACAAAAGCCAGCTCACCAACAACAGGGAAACAGAGAGAGGAAGGGCCTGGGGCTGAGGCACTACCGAGCACGTTCTAAGGACATTCCTAGAGACGGAGGGAACGAGGTGAGGGAGTTGGGGGGAGGAGACGCTGGCTTCCAGTCTGACATGGGGTGGATGGTGGTGCCATTGGCTGAGAAACCCACGGGGTAGGAACAGGCATGGGTCTGGGAGGAAGATGCCAAGGTCAAGTTTGGACAGGCTGAGTTTGCTGGGGAGCATCTAGGGTGAAAGGCCAAGGAGATCTGGGAGTCCAAGACATCTGGCTGGAAACATGGGGGACCTCTGGCGTAAGATGAGGTGAGATCACCCCGGACTGCATGTGAAGTGACACAGCAAGCCCAGGGTGGCATCCTGAGTGACACCCCCAGCCCACCACCCTTGGGCTCGGCAGGGCACTCCTCTATGTGTTCCACAGGCCTGCTTTCCAGCCGCTATGGGGGCAACTGAAGAGTAAGTGCCTTCTCCTAAGCAGGGAGCTAATTAAAAGTTAATTAACCTTCCAGTGCCAAGTGAGTGGGCGGCTGCTGGTACACAGCGCCTGGCAGGGCTGGAGGTTAGCAGAGAGAAGCCTGAGGGCTTGGCCCACCTGGGGTCCCATCTCTGCTAACAGCTCTCCCCCACCACAGGCAGCAGGATTTTAAACTGCATATCTCCACGCCTCCTGCAGCTAGACGTGACCACCGAGTTGTAAGCAGACGTCACACCTGGCCTTCCGCCTGCCTTCTACCTCACAGGGGGACCTTGAGGAAGGCAGAAGCCCAGGCTATGGGCAGGTCAGAACAATGAAAGGAGGGGGCATCTAGTGACGCTGTGATACCAGCAGACCAGCCCCATGCCACCTGTCTCCAAACTTCTTGTATCCAAGAGGAGAAAGCTATAATCTGCTAGGGTTTGGGGTTTTGGGGGGTGGGGAGGGGCACTTACAGCCTAACACAATCCTAACAGATATAGACAGGCCCGGGACGAAAGAGATGATGGTGATGAGGGCTTCCTCTGTGCCAGTCAGTGGGCGAGGGACCTTACGTGCTGGGTCTCGCACGATTCCCACCCCGATCCTGTAGGGTAGATTCTACTACTAGCCCTCTCCCCTCTGGCTTTTAGTGTTGCTGTATTTAGTTTTGCTACAAGGCATGCGTGCTTGCTGGAGAGAGAGAGAGAGAGAAGTAGAAAGAGAGAACGTGAGAAAGCACCTCTCAGGCCTGGTGGTCATGCCCCAATCCCTTTTCTCCATTTTCTTCTCAGGATCTTGGGCACACACACGTGCCTGGTGTTTGCAAAGCCGCTAGGTTGGGCACTCGAACTGCAGTCGGCCATGTGGGATCCAGCCGCCTTAACCACTCCATCAGCTGGCCCTGACCCCTTTTTGAATAGTCAAAAAATTAAGGCAAACAACGAAGCATCACCTGCCCAAAGCCACAGCAGTAACGGAACCCAGAGCCACTATGTACACAGCCAAGCAGGGGCAGGGAGGAGCCCAGGCACGCAGGAGTGGTGGCCGGCACCGAGGCTGCAGAGAGGGGAGTAGAGAGTGCTGAGGCCACAGGGGAAAGACGACCTAGGCAGGAAGGGCTGGACTTGATCCTGTGGGGGACAGGAGCAGGGCAAGTTTCTGGGCAGGGTGAAGACACTGCCCGGACTTGGGGAAGCCAGGTGGAGCGTTCTGGTGAGCGGGGAAGTCTAGGAGCAGGCTGCCCCCGCACCTGCTCTGCAGTCCTCCAGGCAGGGGCTCATGCTTGAGTTTCAGCGGGACCCCGAGTGCTAGCTACAGTGCCGACTCCCAGGACTGCCCTGCAGAGGTGGTGGGCACCTGAGGGCCAGGGGGGTTTCTAATGGGACCTCCCCCACCCACCGTCCTGCATTCAGCCTATGTGGGCAGGGCAGATGGGCATGGGCCTGGCCCCCAGTCAGTGAGTGGTTCAGGGTGGGGGTCTGTGACCAAAGCGTGGTTAATTCGCTTCAGCCCAGGCCTTTGGCTGGCACGTTAGGGACCATTCTGTTTCTACTGCGAGGCCGGCAGGGCCCTGATATGTAACAATGCTGACGGTCATCCAGTGCTGCTTAAACACCTGTCTCACCGTCCCTAAGGCTGGTGCATGCGCTGCCATCAGTCCTCATGACAACCTCATGAGGTAGGTAGCAGTGAAACCAAGCTGAAGCACCAAGAGGTTAGGCAGCCTTCTCAGGGCTCAGAGCTAGAAAGGGGCGAGTCAGGCCCTGCACCCTCAGCCCTTTCCCTCGGCCAGCTCTCCACGAGCCTGCAGCTGCCAGGTACCACTGCTGCCTCAAAGCCCAGGAAGCCAAGGCAAAGAAGAACAGAAGAGACACACAGAGCCTTGGGGATCCAGCTGGGCCTGAAAGCAGGGCCCCCTGGACTTGCAGTTAATTGAGCCAATAAATTCCCTCTGTTGACAGTGGTCTGAGTGGGTCTCTGGTCCATGATGCTAGGACTCTGTGGGCCACAGCACATGTGGCATGGGCCCAGCACAGTCCCCAGGGCGCTGCTGGGAACACTGTAGGTCCATCATTTCTCAGAGGAAGGGCCATCGGGCCTTCCCAGCCCTTTCCTGCACTGGTGTTTTTAGTCTTCGGGTCCATCCTTCCACCTCTGGGCAGAACCTGTCCCACACTCATCCTTTAGAGCCCCAAGAGAAGTCCATGAACTCTAACAATCTCAGAAAAAGATCCCTCCTCTCTCCTTGGGAGCTGTCCTTTGGTCTGAACATGGGCGGGGGGACCTCGGGTGACCCTCCCCAGCACCTGTCCCCACACACCTGCCGCTGGGACTCGTAGAGGATGCGGTCCATGGTGTTGAGCAGCGTCATGCTCTTGTAGAACTTCAGGACCTTCTCCTGCGGCAGCTGCAGACAGAGACACAGGCAGATGGGGAAGCTGGGGCCAGGGTGGCATGGACAGGGGTCTGGGTATCAGGGCACGAGACAATGGGAGGCAGCCTCACACCTGTGGATCCTCACTGGGATTGATGATCTGGCCCTGCCGGTCCATGACACGGTAGATGGGGATCCCAGAGATGACATTGGGCTGGATGAATTCAAGCTTGTCTATAAACTCCGCCGAGGCCCCTGGGAACTGGGGTTTGTCATCCAGAGAGGAGAACTGCTGCTGCCTGTGGGGATGCTGGGAAAAGAGACAGCAGGGGGATGCCACATCAGGAGTGGCACCAGGCTTCTAGCTGGCTCCAGTCCTCAGCCGACGTGCTGGGATTCCAGGGCCTGACTCATAGGGTCTGACCCCAGCTCCACTGCTTTCTCACCTACCACCTTGAGCAAGTTACTACAACTTCTGTGGCTTGAGTTCATCATCTATAAAACTGGGACGAAAACAACTTTTATTCCACAGGGCTGTTGTAAAGGCCAGTGACTCAATAAAATGGCAGGCAGCTCAGGAACGGGTAGTGGTTACCCTTCTCATTTCCAAAGGGCCACGGCCTTCATCCTGGCATTCAGTGCCCACTCCTCTCCATCTCCCATTTCTGCCACTGTCACCTGTACCCTCACACAGTGCCCCCTCGGCAGC